AGCTTCCTGAGTCACTGGGACTACAAGAGCCTGCCTCCACACCCAGCTAATTTGTGTGTGTGTGTGGAGATGGGGTTTCTCCATGTTGCCCAGGGTGGCCTTGAACGCCAGGGCTTGAGGGATCTATGTGCCACGGCCTCCCAAAGTGCTGGGATTACAGACATGAGCCACCGTGCCCAGCCTGTTAGATAGTTTTAAGTTTTGGTTTTTAACTTTTTATTGTGGAAAACTTCAAACAGAAAAAATTAGAAAGAATAGCAAAGTGTTTCCATCACTCAGCTTCAATAGTCATCTGTCCCTTAGAGAATCCTAGTAATCTAGACCGGAATGTGAATCACCAAGGCCTGTTTAGATGACTAAGGCAATAAAAAATCAACTCCATCAATTGTGTGGGATGAGTTTTCAACAGCAACACCTGTAGCAGAGAAGGGCAACAGCTTCTTTTCCGTCCTTAGACTGATGGAGATTATGAGTATCCCCTTTGGCGGTGGGGTGCTTAGACATTTCACTGGAAGCCTCAAGAGGCATTAGAATGGATCACTGGAAAAATAAAGTTGTGAATGTATTTGTATCTTGGATATGTAGTGGAAGTACACGTTGGAAGTTACAGTTATGACACAATCTATTTTCTGTATACCCAGAGGTGTTTTTTTTTTTTTTTGTCACAAGAGAAGATTTTCAAGGGAAATTAAAAAACATAAGAAACCACTTAGTCTGAGCAATAGTACATTGTGGTACATTGCCATAATCAGCTCCCAGGAGAAGACAGTGCCAGGACCTGCAGCTTGCTTCTTTGAGTCCGGAGCACTAATCAGGGAACCAAGGCTGGGAGGGTGGGGGAAGGCCCAGGCTGACCTTTCTTTCCTCACCTTCTTTCTCAGATGCTGCTGGGGAGTCTGAAATGGGAGTTTCTGCTCTCCTTGTCTATTTCTCCCTTCTCCCTCCCTGTGACTGAACCTTCCTCCTGCAAGGATGCTCTTCTCAGCACATGGCTGTGAAAATGTCATCAGGGTCCAAGAGGAGTGAAACTGTCCAATCAGGTGGGAAAACGATATCTCTGAGGCCCCCAGCAGAGTTTCCCCTCATCTCGGTAGGCCTCCTTACCAAACCCTTCAGGAATGATCCCATCATGCTTCCTCACAGAGCTTGCCCCGGAAGAAGGTGCATGATTTTCAAGGATCTTGGCTTTCAGCTTCATTCTTTTGAAAAAAAGTATTACTGACACTTCGAGTATGACACTAGTAGAGAAAATAGTACAGCGAACCATCATATATGTATCAACCATGAATTACCTTCAAGAATCATCAACTTGTAGCTAATCTTGTACCATTTATACCCTTACCTAGTTCTCACCCGTAATACATGCTGGATATTTTGAAGAACATTTCAGACATACTTCATCAGTAAACATTTTTAAATGTGGCTCTAAGAGAAATTTGTGAACTTCATAATTACAACAAATGATCATTTCTAAAAATGGATATGTTTAAATGGTGATCCAAAGAGATGCGCTTATTAATTTCTGTCGTTTTGCCTCTTAAGTATCTTTAAATTCACCGGTTCTTTTTTCTGTCTTTTCTTTTCAGCCTTAACTTCTGCCACAGTTTACCACATCCTCCTGTTTCCTCCTCTCTGTGGTCACAGAAACATTTCTTAGTTGAGATACAGACATTTTCTCGACTCAAGTCTTCTTCCTCTGTCTGGTTCATTTGGCACCTTTATCAACTCTATGCAAAGTGAGGTTTCAAGTCTCTATAAAGATCATTGGTACATGAGGGGGTCTGCAGCCTACTGTCCTGTTTACTCAGTCTGCTGTTATTCTACTATAGTTGTGATATCAGGAGCAGCACTGTCTGGAAATGATGCTGGGAGCTCATTCTGGGTTGCCTGAAAAATGAACTAATTAGAACCCAGGACTTCCTTGTATTCCAGTCAGTGGGGTTTCCAAAAGTTAGAATCCAGTGGAACCAGTGGTGTTTTTCTCACTCCTGGCAGAGGAGCGTGTGACTAGTCATGGGTCCCTAGGTCTCCAGTTCCTGGGTAGCTGGCATTTCCAAACACCCACTATGTATTAGTTGTCTTTTACACCATAACAATTATCCCAAAGCAAGTGGCTTAAAACAACACACCTTTATTATCTCACAATATTTGCAGGCCAGCAATTCAATACAGCATAGCTGGGTTCTCTCTTCAGGGCCTCTCAAGGCTGCAATCACAGTTGGGGTCTTCTCTGAAGACTTGACTAGGAAAGGAGGCGCTTTCAAGCTCACTGGCTTAGTTGCTGGTAGGAAGCAGGAAGGGTGGTAGGTGAAGGCTCTGGTTCCGCTTGGATGTTGGATGGAGAGCACTCTCAGTTCCGCACCACACGGACCTCTCTAACATGGCAGCTTGCTTCCTTAAGTCAGTAAATGAGAGAGTCAGCTAGCAAGATAAAAGCCACAAACTCTTATTGCCTAATCATGGATATGATAGATTCTCACCTTTGTCATATTCCATTGGTTAGAATTAAGTGACTAGATTCATATCAAACTCAAGGTGGGAAGGATCCCACAAAGGCTTGAATACCAGGATGGGGGACTACTGGAGACCACCTTAGAAGTCAGCTTACCACACCCTGTCAATAACTGACACTCTAATCAAGAGTGCTAGGTGCCCATGCTGTTTGTGTGTCTCTTCATTGATAAGGCTGCTCTCATGCTTGACTTACAGTGGAGAGCAATAACCCACTGCCGCATACCTCCCCTCTGCCTGCATGTCCAGTAGCGTGCCCAGTTTGCTCTTCTATGGAAAAATAGAAGGAATGGGACTCATGCCTTCTCTTTACTTACTGGCACTGAATTGAAAGTTCCTTCAAAAGCCTGTTTCTTTATCCATAGCATGTGATATTCTGGCTTTTTTCCTGAGCCCTGGTGAACCACAGGTGATGAGCCCAAGGGACCTGCTTTGCATGACAACCTCGCACCTGGTTTTCCTCTCGCAGCCCTCTCCCAGTCTCTCCTCTTTGCCTTGTAAGTTCAGTTTCACCCCAAACACTACCTTTTGACTATTTTATGTCCCCTGTTTGCAGCTTGAGGGACAGATTATTTCTGCCTTTTGCCCACCATCTGCTCCTGTGACCCTGAGTGGAAGATGTCCTGGAGAATGTCTTGGACATTATTAATTGGGTTTTCTCCACACCAGCACACATACACACCCATGTGCGCACACACACACATACACACACGCACACACGCCAACACACGCACATGCACTTTGTTGTGGAATCTGGTGGCTGTGCTCTTATGTGTACTCACATGAATTTGTGCTTAATGGATATATCAAGCAGTCTTCATTGGTTACCCACACCAACTGTTATGCTTTATGAACAAACGCATGCATTCTTTCCTAAATAGACTGCATATTTCCTTTGCTTTTCTAGCAGAGTGGATAAAATGTCCAACTTTGGAGTCAGGCTGCCTGGGTCCAAATTCCAGCTTAGCTTCTTAGTAATTGTGTACCCTTGAGGAAATTCCTTAACCTTTTCTAGCTGTCAGTTTGCTCATCTGTTGAGTGGGGTGGTAACTGTTTCTAGTTCACAGAAAGAATGTGAGGATGAAGTGCACACAAACATTTCATATAGTGTCTGATACCCAGTGAGCGAGGAATAGATGTTTACAGGTCTCAGTCCTCACAGCAATCCTGTGAGTAGGTTCAATTTCTCTCCCATTTTAAGGTGAGAAAAGTGAGACTACTTTGGCTAGAGCAAGGGAGCAACTGAATACAAAATGCACTTCAAGTTTCAAATATTTAGTATAAAAAAAGTAAAAAGTCTAATAAATACTTTTTATATTGAGTACATGTGGCAGTGCTTATATTTTAGCTATATTGGGTCAAATAAAATATATTATTAGAAATTTTTGCTCATTTAAAAAAAATTACTATTGCTACAAGAAACATTTAAATTGCACATGTGGCTTTCATTCTGTTTTTGTTGAACAGAGCTGATTTTGATAGTGAAAACAAATCCACTCACATCCGGTTTTCTCAGTGTGAAATAACTAGCCGAGTGAGTTATCCCTTCTTGTAATCTCTTCTTTGTACTAAGCACTTTGTAACAGCTAGCTGCAGATTGTAGCCTGTCAATACTGACCGTAACTATCAGTAGTAGAACCAATACCACCAATATGCAGCATAACTATCAAAGTGGAGGCAATTTTTCTTTTTTATTCAAACTGAATTACTTATCTCTGTTCATTCAACTGAAGGGAATCAGGAGAAGATAAACCACTCTCCGTGTTCCCAAACTCCACAAGAGCCATGCATTAGGAGCAAGAATCCTACCTACTGGCTGGGCGCGGTGACTCATGCCTGTAATCCCAGCACTTTGGGAGGACAAGTTGGGTGGATTGAGGCCAGGAGTTCAAGACAAGTCTGGGCAAAAATAGCCAGGTGTGGTGGCATTCGCCTGTAGTTGCAGCTCGGGTGACTGAGGTGGGAAAATCACCTGTGCCTTGGGTGCAAGGCTGCAGTGAGCCATTATCATGCCACTGTACTCCACCCTGGGTGACAGAGTGAGACCCTTTCTCAAAAAAAAAAAGAGAAAACAAAATCCTACCTCCTGAGAGTCCCTATTATTGTAATTTCTAAAAGTGCCCCACCAGACTCCTGAACCTAATTGACTTAGTACTTAATGCAAGTAGGTGAGTGAGGGCAAGGGTTCAACCTCAAGCCCTTCTATAATCAGTATTAATCCATTCATAAAGTTGGAACCCTCATGTCCTAAACACCTGTCATAAGATTCCACCTCCCGATATGGTTGTTTTAGTGATTAAGTTTTCAACACATGCTTTTTGGAGGACACATTTAAACCACAGCATAGGTACTTTCTATTAGCTTCATAATAACTGTCCCAGGAAAATGGTGTCACGTACAAGATGAGGAACTGAAACCCAGAAAGGTGACTCTCCATGGCATAAGTCACACAGGTAGGAAATGGCAAAGCAAAAATTTACACCCAGGACTCCCTGGGCTTTGCCACCATGTGCATTACCTTTTCACTGGATATCACCTGGCAGAATGGACTCAGGTAATTAGGGGGATTAACCAGGGAGAAGGGAAAAGTTGACATAACCAGAACTAGAACACAGATCAGGGAATGCGGTTCTGAGTGGTCCATGGCAATGGAAGCCCAAGGATGTCTTGAAAGTGGTTAAAAACCAAAAAGAATGAGGTGCAAAAGGCACAAATGAAATACAAGTGATGTTCAAATACAGCTTTAATTATACCTCAAAGTTTGCCTCAGCTCATCTTGGGAGTGTGAGGAGAATGAAGAAGATTCTGTTAAAGGGTCTTTAACAGAAACAGTGTGCATGGGAAGTGTATTAAAATCTTTTTCAACTCCATGTGTTTCCTTCCAGACACACTGGAGCAGGTGTTGGGTCCCAAGGCCTCAGGTAGCCCTGGGCCTGTGTCTTAGCTTGGTGCAGCACATGTGACTGCTAGTATGGGTTGGAGGCTGATGCCTGAAGCTTTCTGAAGTGGGCATTGCACGCTGCTAATGGCTCCAGTTCTGGGGTCCTGCTGGTGGTTGGGTCGTGGTGGAGATCAGGTCCTGCTCTCACCACTCTACAAGTCACTCTCTCTGGTGGCCTGGCTTCCAGGACTCCACTAGACATTTCCCTGGTAGGAGCTCTCTGTGGCAGCTCCACCTCACATTTCTACTTGGCATCACTCTAATGGAGGCTCTCTGTTGTGCCTTCACTTCTGCAACAAGTCTCTGCCTAGTCTTCCAGGACTTCAAAGACATCTTTGAAATCTGAGTGGAGGAAGCTTCCACTGCTTACTTTCTGCAAGGCTGCAGAGTAGCATCCCATGCAGACTACCAAGGTCTATGATTCGTACCTTATGGAGCCATGGCATAAGCCACGCCTAAGGCCACTGCTGGGGTGACAACTGAGTACTGTGCTGGGGTGTAGGGAGCAGGGTCCCAAGGTGGTCCTGGGCAGTGAGCTCCTGGAGAGAGCCTGTGCCCAAAACCATTCTCTCCTCCTAGGCTTCTGAACCTGTGATAGGAGGCGCAGCCTCAAAGATTTCTGAAATGCCTTTGAGGTCTTCCATTCTCTTGAGAAATAGCATCTGGTTGTCTTCTACCCCTTCCTCTTTAACAAATGGCCACTGAGCTACATTCTTGGTTTCCTCCTCTGAACATACCTTTTCTTTTCTTTTTTTTGAGAGGGAGTTTCGCTCTTATTACCCAGGCTGGAGTGCAATGGCACGATCTTGGCTCACCACAACCTCTGCTTCCTGAGTAGCTGGGATTACAGGCACGCTCCACCATTCCCAGCTAATTTTTAAAATATTTTTAGTAGAGACGAGGTTTCACCATGTTGACCAGGATGGTCTTGATCTCTTGACTTTGTGATCCACCCGTCTCGGCCTCCCAAAGTGCTGGGATTACAGTCTTGAGCCACCATGCCCGGCCTGAACATGCCTTTTCACTTTTCACATGGCCAGGTTTGGTTTTCCAAATCTTTCTGCTCTGCTTCCTTTTTAATTATACATTCTGTCTTTATTTCTTTGCTTCTGAATCTCAGTTGTAAATGGCCAAAAGTAACCAAGCAGCTGCTTTTATATTTTGCCTAGAAATTTCTTCTCTCAGATATGTTAGTTCATCACTCTAACATTTGGCCTTCCACAAAGCGCTTGGGTATGGACAGAGTTCAGCCAAGTTCTTTGTGAATTTATAACATGGATGGCCTTTAGTTCCATTTCCAATACTTTGTTCCTCAGTCCCATCTGAAACCTCATCCGAATGGTCTTTATTGTCTACATTTCTATCAACATTCTGGTCATGACCATGTAATAAGTCTCTAAGGAGTTTGAAGCTTTCTCTAGACTTCTTGTCTTCTAATCCCTCACCAGAATCTAGGCTTCCTGCTCCTCCAAATTCTTCCAGCTTCTACCCATTACTCAGTTTCAAAGCTGAATCCATGTCTTCATGTATTTGTTATCAGCAACACCCTACTTCTTAGGACCAATTTCCTGCCTTGGTCCATTTTCTGTTGCTTTTAACAGAATATATGAAACTCGGTAATTTATAAAGAAATGAAATTTATTTCTCATAGTTCTGAAGAATGGGAAGTCCAAGGTTAAGGGGCTGTATCTGGTGAGAAGCTTCTTGCTGATGGGGACTCTGCAGAGTCCTGAGGAGGTGCAGGGCACTGCATGGCAAGGGGGCTTGGTATGCTAGCTCAGTTCTCTCTTCTCCTTATAAAGCCTCCTGTCCCATTCCTGTGATAACCCATTAGTCCATTAATCTGCAAATGAATACAGAGCCTTATGATCCAATCATGTCTTAAAAGCTCCACCTTTTAGTATTGCCACATTAGGGATTAAGTCTCAACATGAGTATTGGAGGGAACACTCAAACAAAAGCAGTATAAAAACAACTCCAAGGGATATGGTCAAGACTACAGGTGGTAAAGAATAGGCTAGAAAATGAAATAAGCTAAATTTGCTAGAGATGTGCTGTGGAATTATCTGTCTGTATTTCCAGCTATAACTGTAGCTTCCTCAACTCCATTTCATCACACAAGTATGAAAAAATAAATTGAGACCCAGGTTCCTATTTTTAACAGAAAAGTAAGAGGCTGTGGCTCAGTGTACCATAATGTTGAGACAGGGATGGGGACATGTCAGCCACACACTTCTAGAAGAGGGAATGAACACAGATCAGTGTGAGGAAGGGGCTCATGGTGGACAAGGGACCCAGATATATTCAGATGCCTTCGCAGAAAGAGAAGTCAGAGTAGTCTCTTGAAGTCACAAAGGGGAGGCATGAAGAAATCCTACATCTCTGTTCCTCACAAGGCAGTTGTCTCAGGTGACAGAAAAATAGTCATGAACAAATTCAGGCCACTCATGGTAAGTGGTGACACTCTAAACAGCCCATCACACAATAAAAAATTCCAAATCAACAAATCCCCATTCCTATTTCCTCTGCCCCACTCCCAACCCATTTCAGGCCCTCCAGGGTTTTATCTTTACAAACCTTGAGTGAACACCAGAGCCCTGGGCACAGTTACTGCCTGGGTAGAACAAAAAAAGGACCTGACCAAGCTTGGTGGCTCATGTATCTCATCCCAGCACTTTGTGGGGCAGGCAGATTTGCTTGAGCTCAGGAATTCCAGACCAGCTTGGGCAACATGGTAAAACCCCATCTCCACAACAAAATACAAAAGTTAGCCAGATATGGTAGCATGTGCCTGAAATCTCAGCTTCTTGGGAGGCTGTGGTGGGAGGAGCACTTGACCCAAAATTTTGCCACTGCACTCCAGCCCAGGCAACAGAACCAGATCCTGTCTCAAAATAAAACAAAACCAAACACAAACCACCGAAATTCCATAAAATAAAAAAAGGAGGAAAAAATAAATAGGACCTGGTCAGAGCCCACTGGAGATGTGGCTAGAAGATGAATTGTGGGATGGGTGAACTCCCCCATGGGCTCCTGACCACAATATTCCAAGGATTTCGGGGATTAGCCTCCTTCATACTTATCTGCAGCCTGAGAATTGCTCCCTCCTTTTCTATCTGTAGGAAGAAAATGTCCTATGAGAGGCCAGGGAAGAGGCAGGGCCATGAGGTCCTAGAGGAACCCCCAGGCCTTGGATCCCAGAGAATTTTGCAGAACCGTGACTGTAGACTCAGGGCAGGATCAGGAACATGAAGAAAGGAGATGTGGGTTCTGGACCAACTGCTCTTCTGAGTTCTGTCCTCAGCAGGGACCATCCCCTGACCTGTGACTGCTGGAATCAGGTCCCTATCGCCACAGTCATCAAGGTGATAAATCTGTCCTTCAGTGTCACAAGTGCTTTACAAAAGCATAAGTGCTGGCACACAGGGCCCCAGGCTGATGCTTCCCAGTAACAAGGCAGGGCACATCTCTACCTGGAGCTTGAAACTCCCAGTGGGATAAGAAAACTCAGACCCCACCCTACACCCCTTCCCTACCTGAGTTCTTTCTCCTCCACATCACAGCAGCGACCACAGCTCCAGTGACCACCAGGCCAGCAACGATGCCCGTGATGGAACAGGAACATGAAGAAGGAGATGGGATTGTGGGCTGAGAAGACGGCTCTGGGAAAGGAGGGGAAGGTGAAGGGCCCTGATCCTGTTGAAAGGCTCCAGAAGGGCTCCTGTGTTCCTGGAGAAGCGATGTGACCCCCCCATCCCCTCCTTACCCCATCCCCTTCCTTACCTCATCTCAGGGTGAGGGGCTCAGGCAGCCCCTCGTGATGCACATGGCACGTGTATCTCTGCTCCTCTCCAGAAGGCACCACCACAGCTGCCCACTTCTGGAAGTTTCCATCCCCTGCTGGCCTGGTCTCCACAAGCTCCATGTCCTGGGTCTGTTCCTCCCCATCCCGCTGCCAGGTCAGTGTGATCTCTGCAGGGTAGAAACCCAGGGCCCAGCATCTCAGGGTGGCCTCATGGTCAGAGACAGGGTGGTGGGTGACATGTGTCTTTGGGGGATCTGAGGGGAAGAGTCAGAAAATTCAGGCGCTTTGCATCTCTCATGGGACAGTCCAGCAGTGCCTGTGTAACCATCCTGAGAACGAAGAGGACAATTAGAGTAGGAGAAGAGGGCAAAACCCAGACACTAGCCTGGACTTAGGGGTCTAAGATAGCCTCTTATTCCTTGGAAAGTTCTAGAATTGGGATGAGATAGCCCAGGATAGAAGGTGAAAAGGGATTTCTGGTCCTGGCCTGAACGGATGCTGAGTGACGGAGAAAAGCTGAAGTCAAACCTCCACAGACACTTGGTGTGGGGCGAGAACCAGGCAGGAGAGAAAGTCCCCCATGATCCCTAACACAGGGAGTCAAAGAGAACTGCTGACCAGTTCATTTGAAGGATGGAATCTCCAGCGAGACTAGATTCCTTAATTGCCCCTGAGAGGGGCTGGCCCTTTAAGAGTCACTCTTTGGTACAGGATCTCCTGCACCCAGGGTGACAGCTCCCTCTCCTGATCCAAGGAAGGAGTGGCATTCTGGCCTGTTTCCCTGTTTCTTCTATTCTTTGAGGTCTATCAGCTGTGGGCACAGTTCCAGCCTAAGAAGGAGATGGGAAATTTGCCCTGTGGCCCCTCTTACCCGCACGCTGCAGTGTCTCCTTCCCGTTCTTCAGGTATCTGCGGAGGCGGTCCACACACGTGCCCTCCAGGTAGGCCCTGACATCCTCCGCGTGTTTCTGCGCCTCCCACTTCCGCTGGGTGATCTGAGCCGCCAGGTCCGCGGCGGACCAGGAGCGTAGGTCCTCATTCAGGGCGATGTAATCCTTGCCGTCATAGGCGAACTGGTAATACCCGCGGAGGAGGCGCCCGTGGAGCCCCAGGTCGCAGCCAAACACTCCCTGGTAGGTGTGAGACACTGGCCCCGCCCCGGTCCCGCCCCCGCGATCAGCCCCGCCCCTGCCCCGCCAATCCTCGGGGATTTTGGCCTAAACTGTATATGAGACCCGGTAAAGGAGCCTGCAGCTCTCTTGGGTGGGTGGAGGGTCTAGGCGGATTCCACAGCCTCAAGGTGGGTCTTGGATCCGGAGCCTCGAGGGGACCCGTAGGGGATGAGGAGGGGTCGTGACCAGGGAGGAGGCAGGACCATGAGGTCCTAGAGGATTCCCCAGGCTTGGACCCCAGAGAAGTTTACAGAAGTGGAACTGCAGACCCAGGGCAGGATCAGAAACATGAAGAAAGATGCGGGTCCTGGACCAACTGCCCTCCTAAGGTCTGTCCTCAGCAGGGACCTTCCCTTGACCTGTGACTGCTGGAATCAGATCCCCATTACCACAGTCATGAAGGTGGTAAATCTGTTCTTCATTGTCACAGGCGCTTTACAAAAGAGTAAGTGCTGGCACACAGGGCCGGGTCACTCACTGGCTTCGCTCTGGTTGTAGTAGCGGAGCAGGGTCCGCAGTTTCACTCGGAAATTCTGTGCGGTGTCCAGGGCTGTCCGTGTCTCCTCCTCCCAATACTCCAGCCCCTCCTGCTCCACCCACGGCGCCCGCGGCTCCATCCTCGGACTCGCGGCGTCACTGTCGAATCGGGCGACCTGCGTGTCGTCCACGTAGCCCACAGAGATGACGCGGGGCTCCCCGCGGCCGGGCTGGGACACGGCAGTGTAGAAATACCTCAAGGAGTGGGAGTCTGCGGGCAAGGAGGGGCGGAATCTGGCTCGAGCCAGAGGGAAGGGATTGGGGCGGGAGAGGGGGCGTTGATGCGGTTTCCCAGGGTTCTGCATCCCCACTGGACAGGCCCCTTGCTCCTCCCAACTCCGCACTCACCTACCCAGGTCTTGGTCAGCAGCAAGGCCGTGGAGAGCAGCAGGAGGGTTCGTGGCACCATGACCCCCATCCTTGGGATCCCGGGAGGGTCTGAGTCCTGGTGGATGCATGGGGACTTTATAGCCGGGAATCTTAGTGACTCTGATTGGCTTCTCTAGAAACCTGACACCCAACGGAAATGAGAACTAAGGCCAAGAAGTCCAGGAAGAAGGACCCGACACCAGTTTGGAGAGCAAGAAGTGAAACTCCTGGGAGTGTGGAATCCTCAACGCTGGGTTTCCCAATCTCCAGACTCTGCCCTCAGGGTCTGAGACCCTGAGAGCCACACCTGGGGACCTGGAACTTTGTCCTGCTCCTTTTCCTCCTGCTTCGAGTGCTCTTTGTCACACTGTCTCCCTGATATCTGGCCCAGGAACTGTTTAAATCAGTGGGGTTTTTTTTTGTTTGTTTTGTCAGGATCTCACTCTGTTGGCCAGGCTGGGGTGCAGTGGTGGAATCTTAGTTCACTGGAGCCTTGATCTTCTGGGCTCAGTCCTTGATATCTTGGTCTCCAACCTCAGCTTCCTGTGTAGCTGGGACTGTAGGCCCGCGCCACCACGCCCAACTGATTTTTGAATGTTACGTAGAGGTGGAATTCCACCGTATTGTTGAGGGTGGTCTGGAACTCCTGGGCTCAAGCGATTGCCTGCCTCCACCTCCCAAAGTGCTGGGACTACAGGCCTGAGCACCTGGACTTAATTCTACTTTTCTTTGAAAAATCGGACCTGCTTCAAGAAGTTGCTTTTGCAATCAAACCAGCTGAAACTGGTTAGAATGAAGATAGCTGGCAGAACGCCCTAAAAAAGATCTCAGGTTTCATTATGATCCTGTTTCTGTGCTAAATGGCACTCTCACCAGCACCACGACAATCGGCAATCTCTGTAACATTGACTGGAAGAAGTCCTAAAAGGATAAAAAGGAAGGCAGCATTACTGGCTCAGAAAAATTCACCCACCCCCTCTTCCCATAAAATACGTGATCATTCCTGCCCTTATTTTTAATTCCCAATCCCTTCATTAGAGCAAACCTATATTTCTACCCCCTCACCCTTTGCTAGCCAAGAAGTTGATTTGCCAGAGCTGTTCCCACCTTTTCATTTCCTGGCCAGGAAATAAAACTCGTTCTGCTTGATGCTCAATTTTGGTTTCGTGTATTGGCTCTGCAACTCCCAATGGGGAAAGATCCCACCTTCTGGAGCTGTTATCAGAAAGAAGTCCCAATCCAGACCCCCAAGACAAGGTTCTTAGATGTCCCACAGGAAAGAATTCGGGGCAAGTCCACAGTGCAAACTGAAAGCAAGTTCATTAAGAAAGAAAAGGAGTGAAAGAACAGCTACTTTATACAGAGTAGGCCATTCCGGAAAGGAAGAGGAGGAACACACGCACCCTAGGTAAAATGCATGTTTATATATGGGATAACAAAAATCATGGGGAGATGTGCTCTACTACAAAGGCTTGTAATAAAGGATTAATTTTTTTAAAATTACTATATTTTGTAAGAATAGGTATTATTGGGAGGCCGAGGCAGGCGGACCACGAGGTCAAGAGATTGAGACCATCCTGGCCAACATGGTGAAACCCTGTCTCTACTAAAAATACAAAAAAATTAGCCAGGCATGATGGCACGTTCCTGTGGTCCCAGCCTCCTGTGGGAGGCTGAGGTGGAAGAATCGCTTGAGGTTGCAGTGAGATTGCACCGCTGCGCTCCAGCCTGGTGACAGAGCAAGACTCCGTCTCCAAAAAAAAAAAAAAAAAAAAAGAATAGGTATTATTATCTTTAAAGCAAAATTAGGAAGGCATCTGTTCTCAAGATATCAGAATATCAGGACATTCTTGAGTCTGGTCTATTCAATAAACATTATCAATCTGTTCCCTTAACCATAAGCTAGAGGCTGGGAATGCCTTACCTCCTGGGAATGCAGCCCAGCAAGTCCTAACCTCATTCTTCCTAGCCCTCATTCAAGATGGAGTCGCTCTGGTTTGAAGGCCTCTGATAGACTTACTCAGATTTTTGATAACAAGAAGAGTGATCATTTCGCATTTTTGCAACTGTCATTCTTGTCTGTCTCATATGATATGTGTTTTTAAAATTTTTTAAATTTTAACTTTTATTTTAGATATGGGGGTACATGTGCAGGTTTGCGACATGGATATGTTGTCTGCTGCTGAGGTTAGGGGCATGGGTCCTGTCATTCGGGTAGTGAGCATATACCCATAGGTAGTTTTTCAACCCACATCCCCACCCTCCCCACTCTAGTCATCTGCAGTGTTGGTGTTCCCATGTTTATGTCCCTGTGTGCTCAGTGTTTAGCTCCCAATCATGTGAGAAGACGCAATATTTGGTTTTCTGTTCCTACATTAATTCACTTAAGATTATGGCCTCTAGTTGCATCCCAGCCATTCTATTATTTTGATTGAAGGGTGTATTTTAAAAAAATATAGCCTTACATAAATATTGAGTTGAAAAAGGGAGGATTATTATTATTGCTGTTGTTTTAGAGAAAGCGTCTCACTCTGTTATCCAGGCTGGAGTGCAGCGGCGCCATCACAGCTCACTGCAGCCTGGGACTTCTAGGCTCAAAGAATTCTCCCCTCTCAGCCTTCCCATTAGCTGGGACTACATGTGGGAGCTACCATGCCCAGACTGGGAGGATTTTAAGAGTTTTTTCATGTAATTGTGGGTATTCATCTTTCACATTACACAAAACGATACAAGTGTTAATTTCTTTTGAAAACAATTCATTTTTTATTTTTATTTATTTTATTTTTGTAAATTACGGTTTTACTTCAATGGTTTTTGGGGAACAGGTGGTGTTTGGTTACATAGGTAAGTTCTCCAGTGGTGATTTCTGAGATTTTGGTGCACCCATCATCCGAGTAGTGTACTCTGTACACAATGTGTAGTTTTTTAATCCCTCACCTCCCTCTTGCCCTTCCCCTTGAATTCCCAAAGTCCACTGTATGATTCTTACATCTTTCCATCCTCATAGCTTAGTTCCCACTTCTAAGTGAGAGCATATGATGTTTGGTTTTCCATTCCTGAGTTACTTCATTTAGAATAATGGTCTCCAACTCCATCCAGGTTGCTGTGAATGCCATTATTTCATTCCTTTTTATGGCTGAGTAGTAGTCCATGGTATGTGTATATATATACATATGCAGTTAGGCTGGTTCCATATTTTTGCAATTGCAAATTGTGCTGGTATATATATGCGTATGCAAGTATCTTTTTCATATAATGACTTCTTTTCCTCTGGCTACATACCCAGGAGTGGGATTGCTGGATCAAATGGTAGATCTATATTTAGTTCATTAAGCATTCTCCATACTGTCTCCCATAGTGGTTATGCTAGTTTATATTCCTGTCAGAAATGTAAAATTGTTCCCTTTTCTTCACATCCACATCAACATCTATTTTTTTTTGCATTTTGATTATGACCATTCTTGCAGGAATAAGGTGGTAGCTCATAGTGGTTTTGATTTACATTTCTTTGATGATGAGTGATGCTGAACATTTTTTCATGTTTGTTGACCATTTGTATATCTTCTTTTGAGTTGTCTGTTCATGTCCTTAGCCTGCTTTTTGATGGGTGAATGCTGGATATCAGTGTTTTGTCAGAGGCATAGTTTGTGAATATTTTCTCCTACTCCGTGAGTTTTCTGTTTACTCTGCTGATTATTTCATTTCCTGTGCAGAAGCTTTTTAGTTTAATTCAATCCTATCTATTTATCTTTGTTGTTGTTGCATTTGCTTTTGGGTTGTTGGTCATGAACTCTCTGCCTAAACCAGTGTCTAACAGAGTTTTTCTGATATTATTTTCTAGAATTTTTATGGTATCGGGGCTTAGATTTGAGTCTTTGATCTGCCTTGAGCTGATTTCTGTATACGGTGGAGATGAGGATCCAGTTTCATTCTTCTACATGTGGCTTGCCAATTATCCCAGCAACATTTGTTGAGTAGGGTGTTCTTTCCCCACTTTATGTTTTTGTTTGCTTTGTCAAAGATCAGTTGGTTGTAAGTATTTGGCTACATTTATTGGTTGTCTATTCTGTTCCATAAGTATATGTGCCTGTTTTTATACTAGTTTTATGTTGTTTGGCTTACTGTAGCGTTTGTGGTATAGTTTGACGTCAGGTAATGTGATGCCTCCAGATTTGTTCTTTTTGGTTAGGCTTGCTTTTGCTGTGCAGGATATTTTTGATTCTATATGGATTTTCAGTTTGGTTTTTCTAGTTCTGTGAAGAATGATGATGTCATTTTGATGGGACTCACATTGCATTTGTAGATTGCTTTTGGCAGTACGGCCATTTTCACTATATTAATTCTACCATCCATGAGCAAATGTGTTTCCATTTGACGGTGTCTTCTATGATTCCTTTCAGCAGTGTTTTGTAGTTTTCTTTGCAGAAGTCTTTCACGTTTTTGGTTAGGTGTATTCCTAAGTATTTTAATTTTTGTTTTGCGGCTATTGTAAAAGGGATTCAGTCCTTGATTTGATTCTCAGCTTGGTTGCTGCTGATGCATAGCAGACCTACTGATTTGTGTACATTGATTTTGTGTGAATTTGACTGAATTTGTTTATTGGATCTCGGAGCTATTTGGATGAGTCTTTAGGGTTTTCTAAGTACATGATCATATCATCAAACGGTGACAGTTTGACTTCTTCTTTACCAATATGGATGCCATTTATTTCTTTCTCTTGTCCGATTGCTCTGGCTAGACCAATGTCCCTAATGAACATAGATGCAAAAATCCACAACAAAATACTAGCTAACCAAATCCAACAGCATATTTAAAAGATAATCTACCATGATTAAGTGGGTTTCCTACCAGGGATGCAGGGATGGTTTAACATGTGCAAGTCAATAGATGTGATGCGACACATAAACAGACGCAAAAGCAAAAATCGCTTTTCTGAGTCCCTGGCCCGCGGGCGTCAGGGGTGAGCTGCGGCCTCCGCTCTGATGGTTCGTGGTCCACCGCTCTTCCGCGGTCCCTGACGCCATCGCCCACACTCCGCTTTGTAGAGAAGGTGGTGGGTTGGAAAGGCGTCATCACCCCCAGTGTGTGTGGGGCCCCCCCTTTTTTTTTTAATCTGGTACTGCATCTACTTCGACAGCAAAAGATGAATTGACCCCACCTTTAAGAATGGGCTTCGAGGGCGGACACAGGCGAGCATGTCGGCTCTAACTCTGCTGGCGTTTTTCGCTGCCGTTGGTGGCCATGTTTTCAGAAGTGGCTGCGCACCGGCTGCTGGAGACAGTGGCGTCCGTCATGCTGGTGGTGGTGTGCACATTGAGCCCCGATACAGAGTTCCCCCAGCTGACCAGAACCCAGGTGATCTGGGGCGAGACCTTAAGTGCAACCATGTGGTTCTGGATTCTATGGTGCTTTTGGCATGACTCAGAAGCCATGCTAGGTCACTTTCCGTATTCTGATCCTTCCCGGTGGACAGATGAAGAATTGGGTATCCCTCCTGATGATGAAGACCGAAGGTGTAGACTCAGACTCACTCTTTACAAGATCCAGGTGAAGATATCAAGGATTATCGACTTCATATTGTACATTAAAGTTACAAATTAAAGTGGCTTGGTCAAGAATGAAAACAAAAACAAAACAGGATTCGAGAATGAAGAAAGAAACAGAAGCTTGCCAAGGAGAAGGCTGGGCTTTCCAAATTACCTGATCTTAAAGATGCTGAAGCTTTTCAGAAATTCTTCCTTGAAGAAATACAGCTTGGTGAAGAATTACTAGCTCAAGGTGAATATGAGAAGGGAGTAGACCATCTGATGAACGCCATTGCTGTGTGTGGACAGGCACAGCAG